TCCTATTTTACATACACCAATACAATTTTATTTTTATTTTCTCCTCCGTCTGGATGATTTTGGCAAAACTTTTTGCTAAATAAGAAAACAAAATTTTATTTTTATTTTTATTCCGCCCTCCTCCAATAATCTTTAAAAAAATAAGTACTGTGAGTGTACGCGAAACAAGAATTAAAAAAAGTCTCGTCTAACGAATAATACAGTATTTCATTCGTTTCATTCAAAAACATGCACTAAAATTATCAGTTTTATTTCAGTTTGAAATCAAGGTAACATAACTAGCTAGGCCTACCACTACTGTTTTACGAATGCCAGTCAAGTCGCCCCCTTGTAAAGTCGCCCCCCCCCCCGAAATTTGTGAAATTTGTTATAGTGTTATAGTGACTGCATTAAGCTTTCAAAACAATCTGATAGTACTACGTTGGAAACAAACTGAATAAATATACTTGTACAATGGAGCTTTTATTTAGTATCTGTATATAATTGAAGAAGAAATATGTAGTAGACACCATTAAAAATAATAACTGATGCCTAGTTGTTGTTGTCAAGTGCAAGTGGATTTGAATAATTATTCATTCATTAAAGAAAATTTATTTCCGTAAATGTTAAACAATATTTATAGTAAATCATTATTATAACAAGAATATACGTAAATAAATTAATAATATGAAAAAACTAGGATCTTTAATGGCAGATAAAAATATCTTTTCACGTAGGATACTCACAGAAACAACATAATTTAAATAAAAATATTAAAAAGGCAAATTATATGCCATGCTTAAAATATTGGAACCACGCTTCAAAAAAATATTAATGCAAATGCAAGATCAATAAACAGACTTAGCGTGTCACTTGCTATGTACTAAAATAGCAATTGTTTGTATCCACCCTTTAGAATTTTGTGCACCACCCTTAAAATTTTGAGGACATTTTCTGAAATTTCACCATTCTTTAAAAATCCTGGTGAAAGGGTTGCCATGGGGAACATAAGACAATGAAGAGGGTGAAAACAGTTCCATAATAAAAATACTGTCCCTAAAGACAAAATTTGACAATGTTAAAGGAGAACCTCAGATGACAAAAGAATTTCCCTTAAAATATGTTTTAAATGTAGAAGTAGTATCCGACGACAAGCAATCAAGAAAAAACTAAACTGGAACAACTCTCTCGACACGAAATGTTTAGTGTATCATACAAACGTTTAAATACCTGCCTCTGACCCAAGGGCGTCGATCCGTGGCTGAAAGTGGGGGACGAGATGAAAAATAAAGCCTTGGGCTGTAGGCCCAAGCAATGGTTGGGGACCAGGGGGCGAAGCCCCGGAAGCTTTGGCGCATATAGCCTTTTAATTGATTTTAAGCAATGCAATTAACATTTATTTCCATACGAAATTTTTAAAATATCCAGTGGCGGATCCAGTATTTTGAAATAGAGCTGGGCCCAGAGAGGGACTTTTACAGATGGAGAGTGTAGCTGGACTACCACCTCAGCCCCACCATGGTTGGGGCTGAGGTAAGAAAATTTATGATTATGACACCTCTAGATTGCCGGAAATGACACTCTCGGACCTAAATTCTAATTCTAATTTTCCTTTGTTTTTTTCCATTTTAAAAAATTTCAACAACGTTCAGTAAATTGTTTTCACAATAAATTTAGCCTCTGATAGTCCTTGCACCCATATAATCGATCTAGTGGGTTTCTGAGATGGTTACAAAATGTTTATACAATTGCGTTTTTACTTGGTTTTGGTCCGGAAAATACGTACCACACTTAGAAAAGAGAACAGACAAAATTCATGAGTCATGCGTAATTGTTATTCTTTCTATTCGTTTGTAAAAGTGGGGTTTTAATTATAGAAGATTGGTGAAAAGTCGGGGGGGACAATCGATATCATGTTCCCCCACTTTGAAAAGTATCATGTCTCCCCACTTTGAAAAGTGGGGGGGGGGATGCATCCCCCTGTCCCCCACTAATCGATGCCCATGCTCTGATCACAAGCAATCAAGACAAGACTAGACAAGAACAACTCGCTCCGACACGAAAATTTTAGTTTATTGGTTTATTAACATTCAAATACCTCTGACCGCAAGCAATCAAGGAAAGACTAGACAAGAACAAACCCGCGCGACATGAAAAGTTTAGTGTATTATACAAACGTTGAGACCGCTACACAAAGGCCTTTGCTTCGAGATCTGAGCATGAAGGCAAGGCAAAAGCAGCTTTCTTAGGTACGTTTTTTGTCCGCTGATCAGTTAAAAAACGTATTTCATTTTTATTTTATCACTGAAAAACAACTACTGTAAAATGTTTAGCCCATAAATATGATGTGTGTGAAGAAAACATTAAACAATATTTTAATTTGGACCTTCAAAAAGCAGTTAAAAAGAAATGGCTATGAAATTTTAGGGGGGGGGGGCTAAAGCCTGTTTAGCCCCCCCCCTCTAAATCCGCCCCTGATTAAAGAAAGAATGTTATTGGAGTCTTTGTACGACGCCAATTCAGGAATGTTATCAGAGACAAGGAAATAATGGGGTTGTGACAAAGTGCAAGTCATGCAAGACAATGTGCGAGCCAGCGAGCCATACATTTTAAATCTTTTTTTTTTCACCAGGAACTTTGCCTGTGTAGTCCAGTCATGCGCAGTACATACACTTTTGAACTTTTCGAATCGTCGATCTGAAAGTATGCAGCGCTGATAGATGTTGTTAAAATACAGATATACAGATACGTACATACAGATATATATATATATATATATATTGTATTTATTTATATATATATTTATTTATATATTTTATATATACTGTATTTATTTATATATTTTTATATTTATTTGTATATCTATATATATATATATTTATATAAATAATTATTCTATATTCATTTATATATATATATATATGAATATATTTATTATATATATATGTATTTATTTTTATATACTTATTTGTGTATATATATTTATTTATTTATATATATACTGTATTATTATTTTATATATACTGTAATTATTTATATATTTATTTATATATTTGTTTGTATATTTATTTGTATATTTCTTTATATATTTATATATTTTTGTGTTTATGTATTTATATATATTTATATGTTTATATATTTTTTTATATAATTATTTAATTTTTTTTATATATTGTTTGTATATTTATTTGTATATTTATTTATTTATATATATATTAATGTTCATATATTTTTTATAGATTTATATATATATATATATTTATTTGTATATTTATATATATATA